ACAAGCAAATTATTTTTTAGAGTAATTTTTCACTTCATCGCGTCTGCCTTTACATCAAACCAGTAATCTCGTCTTACCAGCTGTTCTGTTTTCTAGCATCCAAAGTGACCTTGCTCATCTTCTGATTACATCCAACTGTAAATCCCCCGGAACAACAATTAGCAACTCTTGATCAACTTCTTTGCTCATCAGTCCATCCTTTATAACATAGCTTTCCACCTTCATCGTTGCATCTTCTTTCATAAACTTGGAAAGTTTCTCATCTTCTTCCTAATTATTTTTGATCTTCTCGACTATAACGCTATAATCATTATCAATCCTAAGAACTTCCGGAACTGAGCAGCGAGTGAGTGGATCTTGATGCCGGCTCTTTGAACAATCGTATATTCAAAATCCTCCAATAACAATGCCTATCTTGAAATCTACGTCAGAATGACCTTCTTTATCATTGTTTGCGTGAAAGCCTAACAATCATTCCTCCGTAAAAGAATTGTTCCCAACCCCATGGCCGAAGTCGATCGGTACATGAAAAAACTCATTTTCGAGATGAAGTAACGTAAATATTTTCGCACTAACCAAGCGATCCAATTGATCCTGAATGTCGTCTGGCGCAAAGTGGGCCTTACTTAAGCTTCGTCGTTCCGTCCTTAGCACCATTTTGCAACCGCATTCTAACGTTCATCTTCGATCACTACAAAAGCGTCTTCATTGCGAAATCTTCCCAGGCAATTGATAAGCGTTGTTTTAATTCAGCTTTATTTCCCGTCGACTTTAAACCCAACCTCTTTAATCTGAACCTTAATTCCTTCAACGCCAATGTGTTGATGTCAATCTCATTGTCTTCTGCGTATTCTTCATTGTCTTTATTGGAAGCGTCTATGCTCACTGTGTCGTCTTTCTTGATAGCTCCGTCATTAGCGTCATTTAAAATCTTCCTTAGCCGCTCTCTTAACACCGCCGTCAAACCAATCAATTAAAATATACAGTCAAAATTAATATAATTTTACCTAAGATAATTTACCTAGATACGGCAATGGTCCTGGTGGCATGAGAACTAACTAGAAATCCTATTAGTAAGAACAGGATGAAGATACGTATAGCCTTTTCTTACTAATGGGATTTTCTGATTAGTCCACATGACACCAGGATACTTGCCGGATCTCGGTAAATAATCATAGGTTTTACTACGAGAGCAACGAGCTATCAACAACTCTTTTCATTCATCATTCTCACAATCGTTTTTCTTATCTCAAACCTACGTCAGACGCCGAAGTCAGCCGAAGCGTAAAAAGGTACTCCCATTACCTCCCACCACAATAATATCTAAATGATTACCCTTAACATCAGGACAACATGACTATTACCCTATTAGCAAGTTTTTCAGTGGAAACAGCCCTGGGGCGTTCCATCCACAGGCACAGGGCAAACTTTGAATCTCAGATTTTCTTCATAATTTGCCATTTTGTTGTCGTAGGGGACATACATAAGTTGTGAAAATATTTTTGCAAAATTTCGATTATTTTGCAAGATATTGTTATTTAAACTTTTACGTCATTTTTTTCAACCATTTTTATTTTGAAATCTATTATAGTTACAAAAAAATGTTTAATATAAAAATTGTAGGGAATCTATTGAATATTAATAATATTTTATTGGAAATTAAATAATTAATTTTTTTAATTGGGTCAAACCATTTTATTTCGCCTAATGTATTTTTGACCTTCATAAAAAATTTCAATACTTCGGGAAAATATTCTTACATGTTTTGGGATTGCGAAATGCACAATGATTTGTAAAAAATAATTTCATTTCATATAAAAAAAGATATTATAAATTGAGAGTACATGAAAAAAGGTTACATTGACAGGCATTACAAAATATTTAAAAAAGGAGTAATCTCTTTAAGAAATATAAAAAAGCGATTGCTATTTATTTTTAAAGACTTAATTTGTGATTTAAACTTGATAAAAGTATCAAATAATTTATAATAAACTGTAAAATATGTTATTTAAGTTTCTGTATGAAATGTCAAAAATCGATCATATTTAACAATTTTTTTTGACAAAGTAATTTAATTTTCGTAAATCAGAATTATTTAAATAATAAGTATTTTAAATACACTTTATTATTATTTAAATACTTTTTTGATTATCAACTGAGAAATATAAAAAAATTTACTTTAAAAATGAACCATTCTTCATTTTATCGGGATTTTGAATGTTTGTAACTTCGTTGGAGAAAACCCGATTTAAGCCAAAATTTTGGAGCATGTTGATTGAAACAATATCTTCCTGCTACTAAAATTTCGCGATGGGTTTTGCACAAGTTTTCAAAAAAAATTGATTTAAAAAAAGTATTTATTTTGAAGGTTAATGACAAGTATTATAGCTGACTTGAAGTTGGTTTGTTTTAAACTGACTTTAAAAAAATCGTTTTATTTTGAATTTGACTTTTATTGCAAGTAGCAAACCAACTTCAAGTCAGCTATAATACTTGTCATTAACCTTCAAAATAAACACTTTTTTTAAATCAATTTTTTTTGAAAACTTGTGCAAAACCCATCGCGAAATTTTAGTAGCAGGAAGATATTGTTTCAATCAACATGCTCCAAAAATTTGGCATAAATCGGGTTTTCTCCAACGAAGTTACAAACATTCAAAATCCCGATAAAATGAAGAATGGTTCATTTTTAAGGTAAATTTTTTTATATTTCTCAGTTGATAATCAAAAAAGTATTTAAATAATAATAAAGTGTATTTAAAATACTTATTATTTAAATAATTCTGATTTACGAAAATTAAATTACTTTGTCAAAAAAAATTGTTAAATATGATCGATTTTTGACATTTCATACAGAAACTTAAATAACATATTTTACAGTTTATTATAAATCATTTGATACTTTTATCAAGTTCAAATCACAAATTAAGTCTTTAAAAATAAATAGCAATCGCTTTTTTTATATTTCTTAAAGAGATTACTCCTTTTTTAAATATTTTGTAATGCCTGTCAATGTAACCTTTTTTCATGTACTCTCAATTTATAATATCTTTTTTTATATGAAATGAAATTATTTTTTACAAATCATTGTGCATTTCGTAATCCCAAAACATGTAAGAATATTTTCCTGAAGTATTGAAATTTTTTCTGAAGGTCAAAAATACATTAGGCGAAATAAAATGGTTTGACCCAATTAATTTATTTAAACAATAAATTTTAAATAATTTTTTTACCAAAAGTCCCGAAAATTTTTTCTCCAAAAAATATGAAAATGAAAGCTTAAAATGTCCTTAAAAATCCCTTCTTTGTATAGAAAATATTAAAGGAGACACATAATTTACTATGAAAATGTAAAAAAATTATTGCAATTTATTAAGACTGATTTAATTTAATCGTTAGATACAATTAATGATAAGATATATATTAAACGAAACTAAAAAGTTTAAATTCAATAAAATAATCTCTAAAAGTATTTGGGTTCAAAGGGAATTTTTTTCCACTGTATCTATTTAGTAATAAAGAAAAATGGAAAAAAGTGCTAAGAAAAAATAATAGTTAATCACAGGTACTTTATATTTGGTTTGATTTTATTCCATTTAATAACTTATTTTTCTCACATTTAGTGAATGAAATTTGCAAAATTAGGTAATTTGACAGGTGAACGTTAAAATAATTTTTCTTTTAATGTTTCTTATCATTAATTGTTTCTATTAATTAAATTAAATCAATCTTAATAAACTGCAATTATTTTTTTACATTTTCATAGTCAATTTTGTGTTCTCTTTAATACTTTCTAATAGATGATTAGTTTACAATAAATATTTAAAAATTCTTTTTGTTTAGTGATCCCAATACCTTCAAAATCATTCCTATAAAATATTATCATTTTTTAAAATTAGTTAGCGACGACTTTAACGAAATATAATGGATATATTATATAAACATTTATTATAGAAAATTTCATTCAATTACTATAAACTATATAAGGAACAACAATATGTAAATTAAGCCTATAGGGAATACAATATTTTTTTTAAAAAGCTCCAAAAAATGGGTGGTGCGGAATTGAGTATAAATTTTTATAATAAATTGTAATAATCAAAAAAACAAGGATGCAAATAAAAAGATATGCATTTAAACTTGTCATCCTGAATGTTTTTAGTCTTTTTTACATCAATACTTAGTAACTGGCGGACGCTACCACATTCGGCGCGTGGGCACGACAGTGCAATGCAAAATTCAAAAATTAATTTCTCGCGAATATCAAAAAATACCTCTCTGCAATTTTCAGGGATTTTTAAGGACATTTTAAGCTATTATTTTCATATTTTTTGGAGAAAAAGTTTTTGGGATTTTTGGTAAAAAAAATTATTTAAAATTTATTGTTTAAATAAATTAATTAAAAAAATTAATTATTTTCTTTCCAATAAAATATTATTAATATATAATAGATTCCCTACAATTTTTATATTAAACAATTTTTTGTAACTATAATAGATTTCAAAATAAAAATTGTTGAAAAAAAAGTGACGTAAAAGTTTAAATAACAATATCTTGCAAAATAATTGAAATTTTGCAAAACTATTTTCACAACCTATGTAAGTCCCCTACAACAACAAAATGGCAAATTATGAAGAAAATCTGAGATTCAAAGTTTGCCCTTTGCATGGAACGCCCCAAATACAAGGTTCCTAGTTAGGGACTGAGACCTAACATGATCAATTGGCTCTATCAAATGATTTTAAAACCCAGATTTTTACATGCGGTAGTTGTTTGGTGGTGTAGGACTCAATTTATAACTAAAAAAGAGAAACTAGACCAACTCCAATCAATAATTTTTAAAGGTATTCGTACATTCGTCCAATGGGTAATAACCTAAGTGCCTTAAAACACGTTAGCGAGGTCAAGTGTAAACTGATTGATTGTATCATGCTTATATGAATGTGTAAAATTTCTATAAGGTTTATAAATAGTTCAGAAAAATCTGTCTGTCTAATTACCTGTTTTGGTGAGAAGCAAAAGAATAGTTGTTAAACAGATTGTATCTGGAAATGTTCTCATGGTCGTGTATCAAATCCAATATCCGAGATGTTTTTAAGTCGGATGCTTGATATCACTTCCAGTGGAATTGATAAAACAACACACCACTCTTATTTTTGTAACAATCTTCTCGCACGTACTGGCGGTAGAAATATGTTCCCTGTTAAACAAGCAAATGTATATAAAAGTTAACACTAATTTTCAATATAATAAATTGTAGGAAAATTTATATTTTAAACTTGTATTTAATTACGAAGAAAAAAAGTTTGCTCCTGTCGATATGCAACCGAATATGATGCCATGGTTGTACGGATTTTGTCTTTAAGTTCGCGTTTCGGGAAAAATCGTTTTGGGTTCGGAGAATCGGTGGAGTTGGGGGGAATATTTCCGCGATGTGAAGCGATCGCCCCTCTAGTTCTCTGCCTCATTTTGCTTTCTGAACCCAAGGGAAGGTTCCGCGCCATACGCGAAGTCCAATGCCGTAGACCTCGAGGTAAAACAAAATTAGTATTTCTTATAGTTTTCTTTTATTTTGATTTGTTCATAAGCCTTTTTTATTTATTTCAAATTTTTATTATTTTTTATTTTAATTTCACGTAGTGTGGCGTTTATTTGCATTTATGGGCGAAATAAATTTCATGAAATAAATTTCTATAGAGGAGAGCTAGACGGATGATTTGCTATTATCTGCGAGAAATAAAAGAAAATTGGAGACAATCTCGAATTATCGTGCCAATCATAATCAAAATTCAGAAGGAAAACAAAGAGACCTCAACCTCGTGACAGAGGTTTGCCACGCCGTTTCTCCAGACCCACGCCGTTGATGATTCTTTCCAACCCAGTGGGAAATTTCCAACCGGTGCGGATCCTCGCCTGTACCGACGCCGGAGTAGTGGTACTGGCTGGGAACCGCCTGCCTACCGCCCGAGAACTGGTATTCTACCAAAAGATGACTTGGCCAGGAGCTGGCTGGCCATCCGTCTCGGAACTGGCATTCTACCGCCCGGTAACCGGCCGCGAAGAGCCGTTCCGTGTATAATTCAACCGGCTGGGACCCGGCACTGTACCGACTGCGGATCTTTAATTTCCTAGTCAGATGTGCGCTGGCAATGCTGGCATTCTACCGCCTGACAACCGGCTCGGATCAAAATGATAATTTCAACAAATATCAATAAAAAATAATAATTAATTGCAAAAGATAAATACGGATGACAATTCATTGACAGTTCACTTTACACATTTTTTTATTTCTTTATACACTTGAACGCAATTTTTTATTACATACACATTTGAAAAATCCTAACGCTTGGGGGTACGAACCTACGCCTAACCGAATATTTACGCACCGAAATCTCGCACGCTAACCACTATGCTACGCTCGCATGGAACTCTCAAACCTTAAATGCTTTCAAGTCTCACTAGCTGAAATAAAAATTGTAAAATTACTACGCGGCAATAGGCAATTTGGAAATACGAACTGATGTAATACCGCTATATTTTCAATACTTTACTGAATGTGTATTTATGAATATTTCAACATTTCGTTTAAAAAAAATGTTATATTTTTATTATTATGTTTTTTAATATTTTATTACATAATATATCGAATAATATGAACATAACTTCACTGCAAAACAATTTATAACATATAAGTAATAGTATTAAATTGAATAAAATTTTAATGCACAACACATTTTTTTAATTATTTAATTTGCAGAAAAGTGTCAATAAATAATTACTTAATATATTGTTTAAATTAAAAAGAGATTATTAATTAATTAATAATAAATTAATTAATAATCTCTTTTTTATATATTGTATTTAATATGTTATTTATTGTAGGCATTATAATATATTTATCACATTTTCTTTCAAGTTAAATATATTTTACTTCTTTCAAATTAATATATTATTTATTAAAAATTATTTATTTAATTGCACATTAATAAAGTTGGATTTTTATATATATAATGAAAAAATTAAGTTTCTTATATTCTTCCTTTGCATGAATACTATTAATTTATTTATTGGTTAACTAATAATAATATTATAATAAATGCAATTAGTTATTGTAATAATTAATTATAATAATAAAATAAATTTATGATTATACTGATAATGTAAACTATAACAATAAATGACGAGATCCGCAGTCGGATCCACCCCAGCACCGAGCCAGTACAGACCTAACATCCGTCATTCTTCCGACGCGCGTAGAAGAATGAAATCTGCAGGCGGAACAAATCCAGTACCGCGCCAGTACTGACGAAAGTAGAAAGGCGGATCCAAAAGTCGGAGCCTAATCTGTTCCGCGCCGGTTGCATTTTAGGATCCGAATCGGTACAGACCATCGGTGCTGGCGGTCCGTACGGGCGCGGATCCCAGGCGGTTGTATAATCCGACATTCGTCCGACTTTTCCTCCTGGGAAATGATCGTTGAAAGCGATGATTAATTTGTTTATTCTTTCTTTTTTTTGTGAATGTATTTTAATGCACCTAATGTTATATGATTTTATATTTTCTCTACAATTTAATTTATAATTTATATGTATGTCCTAAATTTGTATATTTTAACTGACTTGTATGAATGTTTTTGAATGTATGTGTATTGTTCACGCGGACAAAAAAATTATAATTGTTAATCAAATTTAATTGACTCGAGTCAAAACGATCGATTTTAAGAAATTTAATACGTTTTATTGTGCATTTATTTTGAGGAGTTTTATTGCCTTTATTCCTTCTTTCGATTGATTAATTTTTCTTGTCATTTGTACACGGAAAGAAAAAGTCCGTCAACCATTAATGGATTAGTATATTACTTTGAGACGGGACACTTTTTCCGTTGATGGTTACTTAACTTTACTTAACGATTGAAAACGAGTCATGGATTGATTAGAATGCCAGTATGTGACCAATTGTTTTAGATTTAATGCTCAACGTTAGTTGACTCGTATTCTAAATCGGCGCTCTTCACTAGCGCATTGTTGCGCAGTGTACCGATGCGCATTTCTTCCGGTTTCTCTATAGTCCATGTGTTTTTGCTGTCTGCTATACATATCCCTATATACTATTTTATGTGTAATGTGAATATTTAACTTAACTAACAATTTGCAGTTGAATTGCGTCTAGAAATTGACCTCGATGAAAATATATTTTCTTTTATATTTCTCGCTAATTAAAAAGTAGTTATTAGTGCAAAATCATTTCTCACAAGTTGTGAAAAATTTTGTTATTTGGTATATAAGAACAGTTCGCTTCTAAACTTAAAGTGTTATAAGTGTGCGTTTCTACGTGTAGTTATTATAAGTGCGAAAATGTGTTGGTCTAAAGCGTCTAAGAGTGTAAATAAAATATCGGAACTGTGCAACGAAAAAAATGTGTTCATTCTGTACCAAATAGTGTCTAAAATTAGGGATAATTCTGAAAGAAGTTGAATTTTTTGAATGCTTTTGATAGTCATAGAAAATTTAATAGACAGTTTTCTAAATTTTAGTGAACGAGTTTTATATATTGATGACAGTTTTCTAAATTTTAGCAAGCAACTCGTCACTGATTGTGACTCAAAGTATGTTATCCATTGAATGATTTTGTGTCCCGTCTCAAAGTAATATACTAGTCTATTAATGATTGACGGACTTTTTCTTTCCGTGTATATTGTATTTTGGTATGGAGTCAAAAGTTCCAAAACAAAAGTTCCAATTCCGAAGGGCCCAAATTATTATTTTCCCAAATTAAATTTTTTCCAAAATATTATTTTTCCAAAGACCATTTTTACCAAAGTATTTTTTTTCCAATCGTCGTTTTTTCCAAACATTGTTTTTTGAAATATTTTTCAAATTTCAAAGTACAACTTCACGTCAGGAAACTTTCAGTTGTTATTATCGTTGTTATTTTCATAAATTGTCCTTCGACGTGTGCTCATTCCAAAATCATGTTGTGAAATTAAAAATTGTATTTAAATTAAAAATAGTAATCAATGAAATTGTATTAAATTGTAAAGTATATGAAACACTTTATTTAAATTAGAAAATAGTGAACAGTGAAATTATATTTTTGATTAATTATGGCAGAAATATTACAAGTCGGAAAAAAAATTATTTACATATCGAAGGATTTCTATATTGCAAGCATTCGGATGGAAAGTTATATAAAATATATTTAATTGTTTTAAAAATAAAAAAAAATAAATATAACTAATATTACTAAAATTAATTAACATTATAGGTTACTTATGTTCGCGGTAATCGCCGAAGACAGGATTTTTAATATCGTTCTAAATTTTCAAGATTGTGTGGATAATAATGACATTTTCGGATATATCTTAGGGCCATCGGCTACAATTTACATTTTTAAACTTATTTTTTCAAACAAACACTTTTTATTTTGGAAATTTTATACTTTGGTAAATTTATATTTTGGACATTTTGGATTTTGGAACTTTTGTACTGTGGAAAAATAAATTTTTGATATTTTCATTTTGGAACTTTTTTCTTGGAACTTTTCGATTGGAACTTCCGTTTTGGAACTTTTGTACCCCAATCTGTATTTTATTTGAATTTAAATTATTTTCTCTTTTAAACTCGTATTTGTTACAAAATCTTCCAAAATAAATTAAATTAAAAATATGATGTCTTTATAGAAAATAATAATCACATATTGTCAAACATTTCTTTGATTAAACCGTTTTATTCATTCGCTTTGAATTTTTTATTACTTGTGATACAAGGACCCTAAAGCTGAGTCTCCAATAGGTGCCAATATGCATGTGCAAGTGCCAGTGCCAGTGCCAAACCCATTTAAAATGTATTGGAGATTGGCACTGGCACTTGCACATACATTCCCAGATAACAATCATGCGTCGCACTTTGTCGCACTTCGGGCGCAGGACATGCGAGTCACGCGGTGCGTGCATAATGAGACGCATTTAGCATTCACTCGTTCTGATTTTGTTGCACTTTAGGCACATGACGTGCGAGTCACACCGTGCTTGCTCAATGAGACACATTTTGCTGTCGCTCGTGCTAATTTTGTAGCATGTGTGAGGGCATAAACGTAATACTTTGAAATGAGGGGTTGATAGTAAAAGTGGTAATTAGGAGCAAAAGTGGGATGAGTGACTTGGGCGCAAATACGAGCTAAAATGATTTTGTAATTTATGGATAAATTATTTATAATTAATGATCAAAAAATATTTAAAATAGTAAAGAAAAATTTTAATATTTTGCAAGTCATTCGTGTAATAAACTTATTGATAAATATTTTAATTGTTTTAAACCATTTTTGCTACAAAGACACTTATCCCACTTTTTCTCCCAATGTTTTTTTAAACCACTTTATATCAGCCCCTCAAATAATCTTATATTACATTAAATCAATAAAATTTATGAAAATTACTTTAATGATAACTTGTAGGAATTTTTAAAATTGAATTATTTAATAATTTACAATTTCAAATTTAATATAAAATTTATATTTTATTAATTTATATAATATGCATATAAACCATTCCATTATATTTCGACTAAAGTCGTTGCCAACTAATTTGAAAAAATTATAAAATTTTGCAGGAATGATTTTAAAGATATTAGGATCATCGAACAAAAAGAATTTTTTAAATATTTTTTATATTTATTGTAAAATAAGCATATTATTATTGCCCAATTTTCGTAATTTTTCATTTTTCTGGGCAGAAGTTATTTACATTTTAAAATCGTGAAAATAAGCAAAGTGCCAGTTTTAATTGCTTCTTTTTTAACATTTGAGGCCTCGGATCGAAGAACTCGACCGCCGCTCGACTGCACGCTGCCAAGCCAGTCAAAGGTACAAAAATATCAAAAAAATTAAAATCTGAATTTTTAATTTTTGAAAAATTCTATCTTATAGGAAATCAGATGCCGTATCTTTTTTTCCTTTGACATTTTTTTATAAAGTGAATACTTTAGGTAATAAAAAAATAAAACTGAAAATTTGTAATTCACAAATTTCATTGATTTTTTAAACATAAATCATCGTATCTTCGTCAATTTATGATGAATTAATTTGGAATTGGATATACAACTTCATTTTATTATACTAAAGACAATAATGCAATAAAAACTTCAAAAATAATTAATTGTTTAACAATTTTTTATTATAAGCAATAAATAACCTCAAATTATGCTTTTTTATATTCGCTGACAAAAAGTCTGCAGGGAATTTTACAATTCAATAAACTTTCAGTGAGACAATTGTTCGTGTATATATAAGGAAGTTTTTTGCAAAGTTTGAAGTAATTTCATTAAACGGTTTTGAAATTATTGAAGTTTTAAAAAAGCGTGGTGACGCGCAAGTACAATTCTCCTGCATAATATAAACTGATGTAGCATTGAAAGGCTAAGTTTTCAATGCAAACTTAAATAATAGTTAATACAAGAAAGCTTACATGAAAAGCTAACATTATTTAGTTTATTTAATGTTATTTAATAACAAAGTATTAACGTTTATGTGACATTTCATGAAAACATAAATGTTTAAAGTATATTGACGTATGCTAGATTTGCTTTTGTAACATTTGGATTTTAATACATTTAACATTTACTTAATTTAATAAATTAAAATTAACTTTTGTAACTATAACATTTTAAAACTAATATCAATACTTTTAATAAAAAATTTTTTAATCTCACTGTTTTTGTTTAAATAAGTTTAAAAAAAACTCTTTTCCTTTCGGACTTAAATATCTAATTAAAGCTGAAACATCGTCTACTTTTGCTTTGCTTATTTCACCAGAAGGTGGTGATGGCATTTTAAGCAAATCATCGAAGTCTACCTCCGAAGTTATAATATAATCATTAACTTTCTCATTGTAATCGCGATAAACTTTTACAAGATTGTTGGGAAAATAAATAATTCTAACAGTATCTCGAATATTCAAATTTTTGGGAATCGTACACTTCTTTGGTATTAATTGTTCAAAATCATGCATTATAATGTCAGTTGGTTTAATTAATATAAAAGGTGGGCTTCTTGCGCTTCTTATAAGTTGAAAGTAATCTTCATCGATTTCAATAACTTCAGCTTTTTTACTTTTTTGGCCATAAAGTCCGAAGTTTCGATCACATGAACAATAGCTGTGGCCTCTAACTGGATATAAATGTTGGATCTCTAACTGTAATTTTTGTGACAATAGTGTAAGGAAGTTAAGTAATAAGTAATTTTTATTTTGGCCACCGCAATTGTCCGAAAATAAATAAATTTTGTTATAATGATTTAATTGAAGCTCGCGTTTTATGGCATCAAATAGAAAATTACAAATTGTATTAGCACCTTTTTTTAGTTGATTTTCGATAAAAAAAATACATATAACTATTTTTGTTTTTGCCGAATGTGTGAATATTTAGAACATTTAAAGAAATTAGACGTTTATAATACTGTTCGTTTACTGGAATTTTTGGTAATTGTAAATTTTGCCCGAAATCGAATTCTAAGCATAACGCATCTTTATCAGATAATAATTTTTGTTTTAAAATCTTGTGATTAGTAACATGTGTTTTATGTTCTTTAAATTCTGTACTTTTGGGACTGTTTCGATGCTCAAAACAAAAATTACACACATCAGTGCGAGGTTTCGAGAAACTAAAATTTAAATGATGGTTTATGTATTTGGAATAAGTCGATTCACTAATAGGAGGATTAGAATCACAAGTTTTTTTATAATGATATTCGAGAAACAATTTATGTAGCTTCCTGATTGTAAGCTCAGGGTTATCAAAATATAGTAATTTTGATTTTTGTTGAGCATAGTGTGATGCACTGTGAGGTATTAACATACAATGTTCGTATATCATTTTTTTTAAATCTTCATTTAATCGTAAGTTACGATTATTATGTGTACCTCGATGATCCTCAAGTGACTCATTATTCAACAATTTTTTTTGAATTGTAGTAAATCTACCCTTTTTTATATTAATTAAATTGCATACAAATTTTTGACAAACAGGAACATGCAATGTTTCCTCTGATGTAAAAATAAAAGAATAATCCCACAAAACCACAGTTCCTCGATTTCTGTCAAATGGCTTCTTCGTCATTAATCCATTTAATATAAAATTTTGAGATTTATAATCTCCAGCTGATTCCCAAAAAAAATTAAAGAATCCTTTTTGTTGTGAAACATCAACTTGCTCAAAACACTTCTTAAAACAACATTTTTTGACAGGAATAAATTTCTTTGCCGGTATTAATTTATTAGAAGTAGAAATATATTCCATTCCCTGAAATATTTAATTACAAATTTAAATGCTAAAGAAACAGGCCAAAAGAAGTTTAATTTGTTAACAACAATTAAAGACATTGAATAAAATAAATACCTTATTTTTTGCCAACTTCATAACATTTGCTTTCCAATTTTTCTCTTGTCTAACTTTTTTTCTAACATGTATTTCATCACGTTTTTCATACATTTTTCAAAATATTTCACCTTTTTTCTTATAGTTTACAAAATTAAAAGAAAAGAAAATCTCACTGCTGTCAATACGACAGACACAGCTTAACTATACCTCAAAGTTTATAAACAAAAGTCACTCAGTACCGAAATTTTAAACTATTATTGTATCAAAATAAACTTCACATTTTGTATGTCCAAATAATTTTAGATATTAATATATTCTAAACAATATTATATTCATTTTATTTATTAGATAAAATGTTAAACATTAAATAATATTTAAAATTTTTAATGTTAAATAATATTTATTAATCGAAAAAATTGTTAACTAAAAACTGAAAAGCTGCTTAGTCTTTCTATGCTACATCAGTTTATATTATGCAGGAGAATTGTACTTGCGCGTCACCACGCTTTTTTAAAACTTCAATAATTTCAAAACCGTTTAATGAAATTACTTCAAACTTTGCAAAAAACTTCCTTATATATACACGAACAATTGTCTCACTGGAAGTTTATTGAATTGTAAATTTCCCTGCAGACTTTTTGTCAGCGAATATAAAAAAGCATAATTTGAGGTTATTTATTGCTTATAATAAAAAATTGTTAAACAATTAATTATTTTTGAAGTTTTTATTGCAGTATTGTCTTTAGTATAATAAAATGAAGTTGTATATCCAATTCCAAATTAATTCATCATAAATTGACGAAGATACGATGATTTATGTTTAAAAAATCAATGAAATTTGTGAATTACAAATTTTCAGTTTTATTTTTTTATTACCTAAAGTATTGACTTTATAAAAAAATGTCAAAGGAAAAAAAGATGCGGCATCTCATTTCCTACAAGATAGAATTTTTCAAAAATTAAAAACTCAGATTTTAATTTTTTTGATATTTTTGTACCTTTGACTGGCTTGGCAGCGTGCAGTCGAGCGGCGGTCGAGTTCTTCGATCCGAGGCCTCATTTGTGAAGAAAAAAGGAAGAAAGTGATTAGAAAAACTAAAAGTATTAAAAGTTTCTTTATATTTCATAAGGTTTTATTCAATTTAATGATTTCTCTTTCTCACATTTAGCGAATGAAATTTGCAAAAATAGGTTATTTGCCAGGTGAACTTTAAAATAATTTTTATTTAATATTTCTTAATAATAATTGTTTCTATCAATTTATAATAATAAAATAATTCATTCATAATAAATTCTAATAATTTTTTTATGTTTTCATAGTAAATTATGTGTTTTCTTTAATATTTTCTAATAGACAGTTTTTACGACTTTATATACTTTAGATGCTTATTTTACAATAAATATAAAAAATATTTTAAAAATTCTTTTTGTTCGATGATCCTAATATCTTTAAAATCATTCCTGCAAAATATTATAATTTTTTAAAATTAGTCGGCAAAGACTTTAGTCGAAATATAATGGAATGACTTATATACATATAATATTTATTATGGATTGTAATTTATAATTTAATTTAAATAATAATAAATTACTACAAAAACTTTTTACTTAAAAAAATAAAACTTTACTGTAGAACGTTATTTTCATTTATTTATCTAAAGTTGATAATAAAGGCAGAAAAATATTTGACTTTATAATTTTTTAATATTCGCGGTCTCATCGATGCGCATGTGCGCAGGGTGCGCAGCCAATTTTCCCAATATGGCCGAAAATGTACTTGTTGATGTCCGTCTCGAGCAAGAAGACTAGAGACAGGAGGACTAACTGCAGTAGTGGGGGTAGGACAAATATAGGGGGATTATGAAGGCGTGGTTAGATTGCGCCAAGTATCGTGTTTTGATTCTGCACTTCCACTCACACACGCGTGTCACGTATTCAAATATATAATGTAAGAGTGTTGAGATGTGCAGAACCGAAAACAAGATATTTGGCGCAATCTAACTACGCCTTCAGAACCCCCCTAATACTGACTCACTGCTGTGAGTGAGAAAACAGCCGAGTTAGCCCTCCTGTCTCTAGTCTTCTTGGTCTCGAGTCACATGACGTCCAGTTTCGCACTGAGCCTGTGGTTTTATCGTTGGGTGAATGTCGTGATTGTTTGTTATTTATAAAAAGTGCGTGTGCGAATCACAGTTTTGTTTCTTTTATGTTTTATAAATATTTGTTTTTGTTTTAACTCGTTTTTAAATTAAAAAATATAACTGTCATATCGAACAAGAGCATTTAAAGTTGATTTGCTTCGAATAGAAAGGCTCTTAGACGCAGTCCAAATTGTTAATTTATTATATTATACAGTTGACTTTTGTTGAATTTGTGTTGAAAAGTTTATATTTATTACGAATTATGATCTCAGCTAATGTTTATTATAGGTTATTTAGGAGGTTATGTATGTTTAAGACTGAAGAGAAAAATGTTCAGTATTAATGCCATGTTTATATTATTGAAATAAAAAATTTTAATGAAATATTTTTAAATTTAACCTTAGATTTTTGTATTTAATTTTTTACAATATATTTATCATAAATAATCCTTAAAAAACGCACGAGACTCGCATTTCACTCTCATGCATCATGCACCTTTATGACATGCGAGCGTAATGCGTCTCATATGAGGACGCATCTGTCAGCGTCAGTGAAGGCACGAGTGCGAAAAGAAACCTCATATATGCGAGCGATATGAGACGCATATCAATCTCAAATTGCTATCTGGTTTGGTACCTATTGGAGACTCAGCTTAAGCGGCACTTTATAGGACGAGTATGACGTGCTGGACGAGGCATGTCGAGACGAAGGCGAGTTCAGCAACGTTACACGAGTTAAAAGTGCCGCGTAGGGTCCTTGTATCACACACTATTTTTTAGCACCGTGGCACCATAAGCATGTATTATTTTACGTTTTGACATTTTGTTGACAATCAGCGCCATAGTACGGCGAATTTCAAAGCTCTAATTATCCCTACTGAAAAAAACGACAGTAAATACGGGCATAAAAACGAGCCTCAGTAAGGTATGGTGTAATTGAAACAGTAAATACAGACGTATTTAGGGTCGTATTTACGATCATATTTACGGTCGTTTTTTCAGTAGGGTATATACTATAAAGTAAAACGTGTCTGCTTTTCGAGCTGCTTTTCAACCAATCATATTACAATACACGAATTGCTTACTGGACAAGGCCATTAAACAGTACGTTAAAGGTTTGAAAAACATAAAATAATACATGCTTATGGTGCCACGGTGCTAAAAAACATTTATCGAAGAATTTATAAGCTTTCGAATGGTATATTTGTTATTCTTCTCACATTTGTATTTAAAAAAAAATCGTAATTTATATTTTATAATATATATATTTATATTTTCTGCGTGCACCAGTGCAAAAATAGACCAACATATTTTATCCAGTTTCTGTGACGTGTATACTCATACATCTGGCACACCACTTTTCAAAAAGTTGTCCAAACCAGAAGGAAAGCATATACGTCGGCTTAGTGGAAAACTGTACCCTACTGAAAATCCCTATGTAGGATCCTACATAAGATCTTACATAGAATACTAACTATAAATTTATAAAAAATCCTAGAATGATTGTAAGAATGTACGTAGAAATCCATAAAAAAGCACATATGGATTTGGCATAGGATTTTTTATGAGAATTGATATAGGAACGCGCATTCGTGTTACTGGATAAAAATCTACGTTAATTCCAATATGATTACCTACATCTTTTCTGACATAATTTTGGTGTCAATTTCCTATGTCAATTTCCTTTGTCAATTTCCACCATACTTACCAATATAAAATCTTACAAAAATTCTTAGTTAAAATCTTACCTAATAATTATTAAAAATTTGTCTATATAGAATCGTAGAAAAATTCCTACATAAAATCTTGCTTAATTATTAAAAATTTACCTATATACAAACTTCCTACATAGAATCTTACTTACCCTATTAAAAATACCCACATGGGATCCTACATGGGATCTTACGTGGGTTCTTATACAAAAACCTGTATAAAATCCCAGATCCCACGTAAGAATCCACATGGGATCCCATGTAAAAGCACATGTATATTTGGGACACGATTTGAAACAGGAATTCATGTGGGAATTTGAGTTTGTGTATATCTACATAAAAATCCACATGAATTTCTATGTGAGAATACATAAAGGATTCTATAAAAGATTTCATATGGGATTTCATATGGGTTTTCATGTTTCATATATAAGATTTCACATAGGATTTCATAAAAGATTTAATATATGTGATTACATAAGGGATCCATTGTGAGAATTTTCAAAGGATTAAAAATTAAATAATAAATTGTATTAGCATTTCAAATCATCAGGAAGAAAAAAAATTCGATAATTTGAAACACTTCTTCTGAGCTATAAACTCTCAGTTATATTAGTGTTAAAAAATCATGTTAACAGGGGAAGAAGTCGCTCTCGCCACCTGGCGGTGAAAGTATATGAACTGTAGTATTCTGTATCATTAATAAAAAACCACATGAGATTCTATGTAAGATCCCATGTGGAAAATTATATGGAAAATAATATACGATCTCACCTGGGATTTCATATAATTTTCATTTCTATCGTCGTACCCGTCTTCGACGGGTTTTAGTTTCTGCCAATACATTTATAACAACTAGCGATATTTTCCTCGCTCGCTCGGTTGTATTTATAATTATTTGTTTTTATTTATTTGAGATAAGTAAATGTTTACTGAACATAAATATTTTATTTTATAGCATCAAATAAATAGTTATTTGTACCAAATATCAATTTCTTAAGTAAAAATATGCAATAATTAAATATAATATTACTTATTATTAAATATAATAATCAATAATTCATTCATTCTGTTTGTCCACATCTGAAGTTTGACTTTTGCGTATGGTTTTGTTTTTTTTTCTTTAGAAAATATTGTTTGACAAATAGAAAATATGCAGGTATTTTTCTTGATTTATAATAAAATAATATTTGAAATTGGAAAATTAAAAAATTTTTTAAAAGTTATAATTAACAAATAAATTTTGTTTTTTATACGCTTTTTATAAGAAACTTCGTTTGACTGATCTCAATTATACAAATTTGTATGCTTTTTATTTATAAAAAATATTAGAAAATTGTTAATTGTTAAGAATTATGATTAAGAAATAAGAAATATATCCATTTTATGCATAATTTTTATTTCTCAATGGGTCA